TTATTTGAAGGCAAATATTTATGCTTTTGAAATGTGTTACTATATTTCAAGCTTTATTTATATATTTAAGACAGTAATAATTTTTAACCATAACTCCTGCTTTTTATCAAATCAAAAACTATGTATGAATACATAGCWGCAGCATGAAAATCAGGAAGGTGAATATCCACCTTAGCTTAGAATAAATGAATGATAGATATGTACAACAAAATACATGATATAAATGCCTACATGATGTTGTTCTTGGAATAACTAATGTCTGGAAGGTCTATTGTGTTAAATTAAATGTTGTTAAATGGCATTAGGCAATTCTACCTCAATTGGTTGAGTTTTAATCATCAGGATGGCTCCTCTGTTATTACCAAAACAATTTATTGGCACTAATGATCCAGGAATTAATGTCATGAGATTGGTTTTAAAATAATTATGTTTTTAAGTGGTTAAATACATGTCGGGTTCCTGTTTTCCCTCCATATTTTGGTAGCAATCTATTGGTAGCAAGTCAAGCTCAGACTATTTCTTTTAATCCTTAAGGTTTTCACATTTTCTCTGCCACAATAATGGCAGGAATTTGTTGATATATTTATTGAAAGTAAAGAGCTTGACCTCAGCTGACTTGTTGAAAATTAGATCTCGAGAAAGCTTTTACACACCCAGCAGTGCTGCCATGCCTGTGTACTGTCAAACTAGTGGCTGATCATTCATCACTGTGCATGATGCCCCTGTGCTAACCTAGTTGCTCTGCTGCAGGCACACATACCTTCTAACCTCATGTCTTGCCCTCTGTTCAGTCTTTACCACATCATTCCTGCAGTCAAAATGTGCTCAAATCTGAGGATAGCCTCAGGAATATAGCTGACAAATCTGAGAATGATGCTTGAGACAGAAGTAAACTCCCTTTTGCTTTGCAGAAATTGGGGGGAAAAWAAAGGAATTATTGGCAATAGCTTTGTAGTCTTGTGGGACATAAAGACCACTTATCCACTCTGCCTTTTCATCTATTTAAAACTGTTTTCTCTATCCATCTGTCTTCTCTTTCTTCTCAAGACTAAAAGGATCAGTTCTTCTTTCCGTATTTCTGCCATTTTTGTTGCCCTCCTCTGAACAGTTTCCAATTTTCTTTGAMATGAAGTCCCTGAAACTGGGCACAGTGCTTCTGCTGAAACCTGACTGTAGGTAAAGGTGGAAGGACTTTATTGCATAGGCTTACCCTTCCTACTTATTAGGATTTTTACTTTTAAAAAAGTATATATATTGAGATTGAGAGGAATAGAATAGAATATCCCTCACACATCTCCATACCTCCACTCTGCRTTTTTCAGTTGCATTTCTGCCAAGGGTTGTTTTTTTCAACTTTGTTTTCACACAGCTGACTGGTGTTTTGCATCAGCCATGCCTTGTACTTAAGAAGGTCAAAGAGTCTCTAATTTGGGAGTAATAGATAAGGAGGAGGTGATGACTTTGGCTCTCCTGAGGTCTTACCACTCTGTTGTGAGGTTCACCTGGACCAAACTTGCACTTGAGTCTCTTGCTCATCTGTTTCATGCCTCAGATAGAGACATTCAGGTTTCCCAGCAGCAGACAATGCCAGTAATGGCCCGTAGCGTAGGTATGACTTCCATTTAAACAGCACATGAGCTACATATGGCTGCAGAGCCATAGACTGCCACCCTGGTGTAGACCTGGTCTAGGTTTTTTTTTTTTTTTTTCTCCTCGCTGTTCTAAAAGGCTGCATGTGTCACTGTCTAAAGTTGGGGTTTTTTTTTAACATCAACAACTATTTCTCCCCAAGTAACAACACCTGTTACTCTGTCATGAAAAGAAATAAGATTAGCTTGGCACAATTCCTTCTTGATAAATCTTGACAATTGCTTATCACCTTTGAAGAGCTCACATGTAGGTGGTTTGATTGCAGGTCCCACCATCCTTCTAGGAATTAAAAATAGATTGAAGATTCTAGTGAAGTTACATTTCCTTACCCTTCTTTTACAAAAAAGACATTGTGGCCTAATTAAGTAAATTATTTCAAAGGGAACTTTGGTACTCAGAATTTCAGAATATGAAACTATCTAAAAATCTGAATTTGATATAAAAATGGTAATAGATACTGTGTTTAAACCAGAGCTGCATATGTCTTCTCCAATCTTATTTTCTCTAAGTCTCAAAGGTGTAGCCACCACTAGTCATAGTTCAGCTTCATTGGTCCCCTCAACAGTCTGTGTTTCATTTCAGCAGGCTGAAATGTAGGCTGTTGTTTAAAATGGCTACTTTATCTGAATTGCATTTGACCTGTTCTCTGCCCACTCTCATCTGAGTTCTTTACTCCTATTGCTGACGTTAATTATGTTAGTCATTTAATCATAGGTAATCTTTTCAGTAGTGACTGAAGCAAAAAGAGTACTAAATGCCTTGTTTTCTACACGTCGTGCATTATCAACTTCCCTTCCTTCCCACATTGTGAAATCTGCTTTTGGTCTTCCTATCAATGTACTTACAGAAAGTTTTCTTGTTACCCCTAAAATCCCTGACAGCATCCCATTCTGTAGACTGACTTTTTTTGCAGACTGACATGCACACTGTTATCATGTGTTTGTCCTTAGTTAACTTTAATCTAGTTTTCACCTTTTGTAAAATTCTCTGTGAGGTAGCACACCATTGAATAGTCAGAGCATAATGAAATGATCTCTGATTATACTTACTATCTTTTTCATTAGGACAATTTGTGCTTATGCTCTTAGTATTGTTTATCTTATCTTTACCAGCTCTCCTGAACTCCTTTTTTCTTGCCCTTACATGCCATAATGTAAAACATCAAATTTTCCAATTCTTTGAGTTTTTTGGAAATCTGCTTTTTGAAGTCCATTGCTGTTATTGTTTTTTTGGTTTTTTTTTTTCTTTCTTGCTTTCCTAAGAGTCACAAAATAGTTCATTTCACTCAAGTTGTCTTCCACCTCCTACATGTTCTACATAAATATCTGCACAGTTCTGTGCTCTGGATGCTTCCATTAGTTCTTTCAAAAAATGTTCATCTTCTTGAACTTACTGTTTAATGATAATAACTAGACTACATTGTGGGCTTCTTTTAAAAATATATTTTCTCCTTTTTTAATGATTATCCACAGACATTCAATATATCTGTCCACATAAGATCAAGTCCATCTATAGCATGTGATGTACATACTTTCATAATGATACAAAACCGTACATATTTCCTTTATTTCTTTATTGCATATCTTTATGAACAAGCTATATATAATATTACCCATCTAATCTCTGATTAAATGCTACAAGATCCAGTTCTTATTTTGTTCTTCTCAGGCATCTCATATTCATTGTCCACATCTTCATGACCTACATCTGTTGATGAACTTACAGCAASAGCCTTCATAAGCCATACTCACTAGGTCCAAGATTCATTCCTCTTATTTTAATCAGAAGATGAGCATTTTAGCTGAAGCAGGAACGAATTCACTTGAACTGTCTTCACAAGTATGGTCATTTCTGACATGACTAGAATTCTCCCATAATCAGTGGAAATTTAACCAATACATCTAGGATGGTGAATTTGTCTTTTTTTGCAGTTTAGTTAGAGCCCAACATTTAGACAAATATAGAGGTCCACACTTTCAATGAGGTCAGTCTCCCTTTAAGTGCAGCAGAAAACAAAGATCCAGGGATAGAGGATGAGCACTTCTGTTGTCCACTGAGACAACATATTTCTGCCTCATTTTTAAGAGGTAGTTCCTAGATGGACCACATAAGAAAGCACTGCTTGCAAACACCTATCTAGTAGCTCGGACATCCAAGTTTTTCCACCTCCGTGAGCAAAGAAACCTCTGTTTCTTTACTAGTACAAGTTCTCTCAAATATACTCCATCTCAGCTGGTACTTAGTCGAGAAAAGATTGTGTCTTCACTTTTGTTATTTTAGCTTTGTGGTTTAATGCCCTCCTATGTAATATTTGTTTCACAGGTGAGAATGTAGTATCCAGGAGTGGAGGCAAATATTCTGCAGTTACTCTCCTATCTGCTATTCCTATCTATTCTCCATGTAAACAGAATCACAGAATGGTCGAGGTTGGAAGGAACCTCTAGAGATCATCTGCTCTCTGTTTAGCAGAGGTTTCATTGAGGTGCATTTGCAGATTTGTCTTATGTTTCTCTTTCTTTCTTTTCAGTGCTATTTTAGTAGYTGTTGCTATGTCTAATGCACTTTTTACTTAGCTAAGAGTATCTGGATTGGACTGTGGGAACTAGAGGTAGCAGAGCTACTCCTGGAAACCAAAGGGAAACAACCTGATTTCTGACTTTATGGAAAGTAGAATCAGTAACGAGTGAAAGATCAAATAAAAGTGTSTATGTAAAAGTAAAGTATGCCTTTAAAAAGGCATAGGAAAGGAAGGGACCTTCCTGAGTRTGTTATGGGACACAGTGAGATGTGTAGGAGGTATTTAGCACTGGCTGGTGGCAACTAAGYCTCTAACAGATGATACTAGTAATGAAATTCCGATCACTTTGTATATATCTTTCTGAGTTGCAAAGTTGTCATATTGATTTCTTCGCTATCTTTAGGTATAGGAAAAGCAATAAGTGTGTATGCTTTCTTAATTAAAAAGGATCTGCTTTTCTGTAGTAAAGCAGCAGAGTATTTACTTTATAGTTCTTTAGTTTGAAAAGCTATGAAGCTTGGAGCCACAGGATGGTAGTGCTGCTGGATATGAGGCCACCTTCTGTTCAGTGCTAACTGCTGGTTTGGAAAGACGTCTGGGCACAATGATCCAGAACTCTCTGACTTCTTTGATAGTTTGTTGTTTTCATTTGTTTTTATTGTTTTATTTTTCTCTTATCCACATAAAATCCATAATTGGAGGTATCCCTTGTGTAAATCCAGCAGAATTCTTTTCTTACAGTTTATAACATACTGCTTGGARGTTGCACGCAGTAAATTGTCCATCCTTTGCTTAGATATCCAAAAATTGTGGGTTTTTCCTTCTCTTGTAGAATCAAGCGAACATGAAGAAAAGAGTACAGGTGTCTCAGGGGAGGTATCTTCCACCCAACCTTGTCCTGCACCAGGATATACTCAGCCTGAAGAAGCAAAGGAAGAAATGGATGTAACAAAGCAGACAAAACCTGAAGAGAGTGATGATTTGGGCCCATTGCCCGATAATTGGGAAATGGCTTATACAGAAAAAGGAGAAGTCTACTTTATTGAGTGAGTCATATTTTTTTCTCTTTTTTTATCAGACATCTCGCTTTTAACTGGGTGGGGAATGGTTTGTACAGTGGAGGGAAGCATTACAGAGAGCAGTGATCAAGGTCCTCTTCACTAAAACAGCAGGAATGTTCTGGCTGTCAAGGCTGTTGAGAACTGGTAGCCGCCCTACATTATTGACGTATGTTGAAGCATGCTGGTTTTTTAAGAGAGGTAACTGGACTGTGCAGCGCTTTGATGGCAGCAATTAAAGCTGTTGTGTCTTCTATCAAAAGCGAGGCTTTTGTGCTGTTCTGATGTTCACAGGAGATTTGCACAATTGCTGGATTCTTGTTTCCTTCTGTGGGCTGAGGGGGAGCGGATTGGGCTTTTAGTCAATTCAAGAGAAGAAAGATAGGAAGCATAAAGCTACCTATTATGTGCTATAGGGAGGCATGTAATATCTAGAAATAATAAAAGAAATGAATGGACAATGAGGAGAATTAATAATGTGTAGAGCTTTTTTTCCTCCTAGTAGTCTATACATTCCTGTTGCTATTGTTGCTAATTAGCAAATTCCCTGAATTAATGGATATGAAAGTTCCTCCTTCTCTAARTGCAACCACTAATATGCACCACCAGAATAAGAACAGAGGACATCAGTGAGTTGACATTAGCTCATGTTCCATAACAAAGAGAAAGGAAACCCCCCGCATCAGTATAGCACTATTTTCAGAGAGAAAGTGGGAGCGTTTATGTTTACTTACAGGAACTGCTGAATAAAGTATAATTAAATGATAAGAAGAATAATTTTTGTGCCACGAACACTGGCATGCTTCTGGGGTACACAAGGACAAACAGAGCATAAGCTGTTGCCACTTAAGTGTCTTCGCTGAAAAAAGGCAAAAATACACTTACTGTAGAAAAAGAATAATCATAACAACTTCGCCCAAGCAAGCAGACAAGAACTGAGATCACCTCAGGGCTGGCTCAAACCTCTGTTTCCTTCTTAACCTCACTCCTCACTCCCAAATTTAATTTTTYTGGAAATACTGAAATCTCTGACAGAGAACAGACTGAATTATATGGGAATTTTATTTTATGTGATGCAACAAAAGCTCTGTGATCTGAGGTGCAATTTTTTCAGAGTGGTTTTTTTTTTGGTTTTTTTTGATTGTGATACTGCTAAGTATAAGAGCACACAATTTAATAATAAATAAATATATWTTTTTTAGTGAAATACAGTGAATTCACATAACCCTGCTGCTCCACAGAGCAGCTCTGGCACTCCTGAAATCCCTTTGATGTTACAGCTTCCTTCCTTCACTAGAAATACTCTGGTTTACTGTAGTTGTTCTGGCAGCACTCATGATTCACTTCCACTAAATGAATGCTRTGTAAATCAGACAAATCAATCAGAGGTACAGACTGGACAGAAAAAAATGTGACAAGGGCTCCTTGCCCTTGCAATTATATTCTTRAATAATTCCAAAAATGTGCAATTACATTTTTGTATAGATACGAGATTATTTACTGGATTCCCAACAAAGTGGGGACTCTTTGATCGCTTGAGTTTCCACACTGCACAGTCCTCGCAGGGTTAAGCTGGAATGTGATGCTGTGGGGATGCTGTTAAATTGCCTCTTTGTTTACAAGTCACTTTGGTTAATGGCATAAAGAGACTCCATTTGCTTTCGCAAAAAACAGAAAGATAAAAAGACAACAAAAACGTGTTTGTCTAACAACATCTCTCTAAACAGTAGTAAAGATTGTACTAGATTATTAAATAATAGATCAAAACCAAACATTTTAAACTGTACATCACAATGGGTAAAAAATGTATTTGGCAGCATCTTTTATTACTTTATCTGAGGATCTTGTAAATTGTTCATTTAAATTCCGAGGACTTCAAGCAGTTAAGTACTCTTGAGTTCTGTGTTATCACAGGAAAAATATACATAGATTTCCTAACAGCACCGTCATACATTCACCTCCAACTGACCCTCGAAATTTGAGGATGAGTTCATTTATCAAAACTCCCTTCAGGAGAAATATAGCAGATTTATAATGAAAGGAGAGACTTCATAAGAAGAGGGATTACCTGTCGATAATATTATTTATTTGTTAATAACTAATGGCCCGGGTTGCATTTTCTAAAATACACTGGAAGGAATTTCCTTTGTCTCAAGATCTGGCAAGAGAAAAAAAAAAAAAAAAAAAAACAGAGATAGCAGATTCACTGCATGACTCAGAGGATATTTGTATTTTAGAGCACAGATAGGTCTTTTTCTTTCTTTCTCTTTTTTGACATAGGTGCATGACACCATGTGTAGTTAATAATTTACTTAAATAATATTTACAGACAGACAAGAAGAGCAGCTTTTCTACTGAAAAAGCTTGCCRTTACTTCTTAAGATGAGCTGTTTACATAGATTTCTTGGGTTCTTTCTAGCCTCCTTTATATATGGAAATTAATTTTCAAATACAGGCAACCAACAGGAGTCTGTTTCCCACCTTTACTCTATTTTAGAATATAGGCTAATAAAAACATAGAATAATTAAAATACTTCATATAAATTGGAATAGCACTACATAAGACTCCAATTCTGCTTCTAGAAAGTGAACCTTGTGTTGTCCTAGCAAAGTTAGTGAGCATTCACTTTGATGGATCTCTAGTAATCAATGTGTGCTGTGTCAGCCCCGCGCACTGTTGAAGTAAGTGAAAAAAGACCAAAGAGTCCATAGAGGCRTCTGCTGTCATGAGTGGTCAGCCATCAGTACTGCCCTCACCCAAATCAGACACCTCAAAATCAAGCTCAATTACATACATTACAGAATCACAGAATCCCAGAGTGGTTGAGGTCAGAAGGGACCCTAGAGCTCATCTAGCCCAACCCCCTGCTCCAGCAGGGACACCCAGAGCACRGGGCACAGGGCGGCATCCAGGCACCTTTGGAAGATCTCCAGAGAAGGAGACTCCACAGCCTCCCTGGGCAGCCTGKGCCAGGGCTCTGGCACSCTCACACCAAACAAGTTCTTCCTCACATGCAGATGGAACTGCCTGGGTTTCAACTTGGACCCACTGCTCCTTGTCCTGTCACTGAGAAGAGTTTGGCCCCTTCCTCTGTACATTCTCYCCTCAGGTACTTAGACATATTGATCAGATYCCCTCTCAACCTTCTCTTCTCCAGGCTAAACTGGCCCAACTCACTCAGTCTCTCCTCATATGAGAGATGCTCCAGTCCCTTCATCATCTCTGTCACTCTCTGCTGGACCCTCTCTAGAAGCTCCGCGTCCCTCTTGTCCTGGGGAGCCCAGAGCTGCCCCCAATGCTCCACGTGCGGCCTCCYCAGAGCTGAGCAGAGGGGCAGGATCCCCTCCCTGCCCCGCTGGCAACATCCTCCTGGTGCAGCCAGGAGCCCATTGGCCTCCTTGGCCACGAGGGCACTGCTGCCTYGTGGGTGACAGTGTCCACCAGGACTGCCAGGTCCCTCTCTGTGGAGCTGCTTTCCACCAGGCCCATTGGCCTTTTTGGCCACAACTCCACGCCTTGGGAAGTCATCAAGTCAGTGCCCCGGCAGYGTTCAAGAAACGTGTAGATAAGACACGTAGGCAGTTTAGCAGACATAGTGGTGATGGGTTTACGCTTGGAGTGATGTTCTTAAAGGTCTTTTCCAACCATAACAATTCTAGAATTCTATGATACTACAAGAATGAGATGGAAACTAGCTAATTTCCTAAGACAAGGTAGTTAAGGCAACAACTTGAAAGCTGAGATATGGCCTATCAGGATGAAAAAAAAAAAAAAAATGATTGTAATAAAAGAAAAAAGTGAGGAGTGTCTTCTTCTTGTTGTTGTTTTTTATGTCCATAACCTTTGCAGTCCTGGAAGCAGACCTCCATCACAGGCATTTGCCTGGTCCTTTCCTGGAGAAATGACCAGAAAATAATAGAATCATTAGCCAAGAATAGAATAGAACACATTTGCCAACATTCACAATAGAAACATTTGCCAAGAAGTCTTTATTCTTGCACTCACAAGACAAACTTGTAAGAGGTCCATCCAATCAAATGTTGGAGTGAAGCGGTCTTTGCTGATAAATATGAATTTGGCCCCTCACCACACGCTTCGCTTCCTTGCCCGTGGCCACCTTCTTTTTTCTTTTCTCTCTTTTCTTTTCTCTTTGCTTCTTTTTTTTTTTTCCAACTTCAGTGACTCTCATGGAGGACATCTACAGATATAGTAGCAGTGACTGTAATAAAGATGTTACCTTATGCAGAAAGCAAGACCTAGTCCGAGACCTCCAGCTGCCTGGTTGCACACAAAGAGAGAAATGAAGTGCATGTGCAAGACAGGCTTGGTGCTGGCTTTCTGTACATCCTGCGCCCTCTGTTCCTACAGTACCTGAGAGGAAATGGTGTTGGCTCAAGTGGGGGGTGACTGCACATAAAGTGGGAGGTTGCAGGGCATGCAGCCCCTGTTGCTTCTGTCAAGACTTTTCTGGCTCTTCAGCATTTGAGCACCTGCTTGTGCTTAAGCAGAGCTCTTTTCTTTGCCCCGAAGCTTAAGTTTTCAGCAAACACCTGCTACCCACAGGTTTCCTCTCCCTTGTTCTTCATTCCTGTTTTTTTCTTTCCTTTTGGACTACAGTGAGTCTAGACTATTTCCATACTTGGTTGTTTCCAACACACACACAATGGGAACTTTTGGTGGGAGTTGCAGTTTTGATGTCTTCTTGCCTCCTGGAAGCACCCCTGAAGCTCCTCCTCCTCCTCCTCCTTTCACCTCAGCCTGCCCAGATGTTTGCCTCTCATGATGCTCACAGCTTCCTCAGTGCAGGCCCGTGGCCTCCTGGACTCTGATGGCTCTCTGGAAGCTCCACATCCCTCTTGTCCTGGGGAGCCTGGAGCTGCCCCCAATACTCCAGCTGCGGCCTCCCCAGAGCTGAGCAGAGGGGCAGGATCCCCTCCCTGCCCTGCTGGCAACATCCTCCTGRTGCAGCCAGGAGCCCATTGGCCTC